CCACAATCCGATTGTTTTTGGGCCGACATGCACAAGTGGTTCTTGAAGGTTTGGTGCTGATACTGTTCATATCATTTTTCGTGTGTGTTTTAGTTTTTTTTCCCTTTTTATATTCTAACCTTAAAAAATATTACATCCAATACTGAATATAAGAACTAATTTAAAATGCTACATGTTATAATAATGTAGGGTAGTTGTTGAGAGTTCGTCTTCTTATAAATATATATATATATATATATATCTATATATAAGAGTCAATTTGTAGTAATCATACAGTTAAGGCTGTGCAAAAACCTGGTGGTCTGATATGGTCCAATCTAACCCCAGCAAATCCGGTCCAGTTCAATCCAGAAAAAATTAGCTTGAAACAAGATTGGATCAAACTGGTCTCATCAAGCTGGACTAGACTAGGGACTAGGCCCTCAAACTAGTTGGTCTAATCCAGTCTAACCCGTTTTTTTAAAAAAAATTATTATTTATATAATTTTAATTTGATTTAATTTTTCTATATAAGTTTTTTGCCTATTCAAATAATCTAGATTTATCTATTGACTTCCTAAGTAATGAGCATATGTATATATTTTCTACATATAAATATCTATATTAATAAGGATTAATTAATAAAACATGACATTATTGGGAAATTGAAAGGGAATGATCAAATTTGATAAACTTTGGATTAAAATATATACAAAATTTTATATAGTAAGTTACAATTTTGCCTCCTGTTGAAAAAAAAATTTTGAAAAAATTAAATGTAGGTCCTGGACCTGGACTGGTCCATAGGACCAAGTCCAATCCAACTCGACCTTGGGTTGATACTGGACTGAACCAGACCTCAGGCTGTCTTTTTTAGCCTGTGGTCTTTATTGGACCAGACTTCAGGTTGATAACAAACCTGGTCCAGTCTGGTCCATGCACACCCCTACATTCAGCCCTTGATATAAGACTTATCTAACTAATTTAATTATATTAAAGAAGTTAGTTAAGTTGGTTAATTATAAAAAAAACGACATATTTTTCCTAATATACTATAATCATCTTTCTTAATATCCTCACTTCTCTCCTACTTAATTATGATTGAGGAGGATCAATCGGGGTTATTTAGGAAAATTGATAAATTTAGAATCAAGATCAACTCATCAATTAGGTCCTATATTAAGGAGTAGAGGAATAATAACATATGTTAAATCGATATCTACTTTTCTTTAAAAAAAAAAAGGAGTTAAATGAAGAATAAAAATTCAATCACATTTCTTTTCCTTTTTGGCCAACAATCACATTTACCTTTTGGATTCATTAAGTTTGACTTAAATTTAAAGAGGCTTATGATTTGAAAATTATTGGTAAAATAGTGATTTGTTGCTATTAATAAGACATGTCTAAGATGTATTATTGAAATTGAAAAAAATCTTAAATTTCATTACTTCTATTTTAAAGGTAAAAAAATTTAATTTTGTTTTAAAATTTAACAAATTTTTTAACTTCCCTTTTATTTTGTATACACTATACACGTGTAAGAATGAGGTCTACATATCATAGATAAAAGGTAAAATTATATATTTATATAAAAATTTGATAATATGACTTATAAACATGATTTAAAAAAACTCACTCTGTCCAAGTATTGGTAAAATTAATCTATATATCCTTATAACTTCACATAATTGTTAGTCTCTTAAAATTTTTATTAAGCTATTATAGTTTTACTTGAATTTTAATATGGTTATTTCAAGCGATTGACAAAAAAATTATAAAAATGATTAAAAATAAGATAAAACTGTATGAGTACGATAGAAAACAAAAAATATAGACCTAATCAAAACCAAGTGAAACTTGTTTTATAAATTAATTTTTATCCAAATATTTATAAATATAAGAAAGAAGTTGTCAGATCAGTAACGGAAATACGGAATCCAAACTGACATCACTGTGAATATAAGACCAATTGCAGCTAATAGATCCACCTTTGCTGGTCAATCACAATAACTGTGATTATGCATTTTTGTGCACACAAATACTAAGCAAAATAAATAATATTTAATATTAAAATAATTGAAAGCGAAGTATAAGCAACCAATTATATATTAAAATATTTAAGAATGATAAAGAAAACGAAACGAGACAAGAGAAAATATGATAAAAATAATATTTAATTATTTTTAATTCAAAATAATAAAATATAATTACTGTTTAACTAATGATGATGGAACCATAATAAATAATAAATATAATATATTTTATAGTACATATTATATTAGGAAGAAAATGCTTTTAATTTAGGAGAATATTAGGACGTGATAAAGGGCCAATTGAAAAAATAAGGGTTAAAAAGGAGAGGATCAATCCAATTAAAAACGTTAAGTAAAGAGAAAAGGGGGAAGGGGAAAAAAGAAAAGAAAAGAAAAGAAAAGAAAGGGAAAACACAGATTTGGTTCTGTTTGTGGCATAATTCTGATTCTGCTTTCATTTACTCTTCAAAGCTGATATTTGATGTGACACATCCTACACCTACCCTATCTGTATTATTCCCCTATTTGCCCTTTCCCTTTTTAACATTCACTTCTATTAAATGGCGGCTGTAGTATTTCCTCATATATAACTGTTTTATTTATTTCCAACGTTTTAACTAAAACAAAGAATTAAATGTTTCACATAAATTAAAACTATATAATAATTAATTTTTCAGATTGATCCTGGGATTTAAAAAAACCTACTATTTTCTCATTTTTCTAATCATGAAAATATTATCCATTTATGTATATTATGAATTTTAATTATCATGTAATATTTAAATAATGTTATTTGAAAACGAGCTTCATTCTTGAATCATAGGACTAGCAATAATTTTATTAATATATATTTTTTAATAATTAAACTCAATATTTAAATTTAAATTATTTCAGTTTGGCATAAGATGCTGTCACTATTTAATAATTATTACATCATAACAAAAACATTATATGTATAACCTATACTTAATCCTATCACCACTTTTTTTTCCTTCTTAAATTTCTTTTTCTTAGCCGAAAAATTTTGTTTTTTTATTTTAATTTCACTTGTCATCTATACGTAACAAGTAGTTTTTATCAATGTGACCATTTTTACACGCACCCACATGAGGACAAAGTAGTAAATTTGCACAATTGCCTTGCATACAAGTTTAATCTAAGTCAGCCTGTTGAATTAATGCATGCAATTGTGACTGTAAATTAAGCAAGTAACTGAACCAAAAAGCAACTCAAATAAGGGAAAAGTATTTACTCCTCCGGTCTTAATTATAAGACCCAATTGACTTATTTGAAGAGATTAAGGAAGTAAGTTAAGTTGGTTATTTATAATAAATAAGTGTTGTCATTCCTAAAATATCCTTGCTAATTAAGTATATTGGCTAAAACTATCACTATTAGAAGGATTATCTTGGAAAAAAATGCCTAAATATAAGAGACAAAATGGATTAGGGTCTTATAATTAGGACCAAATAAAAAGTCAAATGGGGTCTTATAATAAGGACCGAAGGAGTATTATTTTTTAACATCAATTGATATAAATATCAATGTAAAATACGAAATTTATAACTAATTTATCAAAGAGTTTATAGATGATAAAAAGGTAATGACCTCAAATTTCGTATTAGTCAGAGGTGTGAATTTTTTTAATGAAAAATTTTAGTTGAGAGAAGAAAAGTTAATTGATTATACTATTTTTTATCCTAATTATAAGAGCTAGTTGACTAATTTGAAGTGATTAAAAAAAAAAGTTAATTAGTTATTTGTAATAAAATATATTATTTTTCCTAAAATTTGTTTGCTAATCAAATTTATTGGCTAGAACTATCATTATTGGAGTTTTATAATTATGACTAAAATAAAAATCAGATAAGATTTTATATTAAGGACCAAGATGATATTTATTTTATATTCTAACTATTTTCGACCTTTTGTTGACAGGAAAAGTGTGTTCGTTATTGTCTGAATTCAATGCATGCTGCGGGAGTCTTCTAGAAGCAGGAAATCGTATAAAAAAAAGACAAATTCCTTTGCCAAAGAAAAATAAAAAAACAATTCAGTAGAGAATCAAGCGATTTTTTTTTTCAAAAAAGGAACGAATAAAATCGGGGCAAATGATTGAAAGTAGCTATTATATAGAATAATTATGAAAATTAAATTGATCCCATCAATAGTTATCAGATACTCATTTAATCATAAAATATAAAATATTTAATCTTTTTATATTACTTCTGTTTCTTAATATAAAAATTAGTTTGGCTTTTAATTTTATCTTAAACATCATATCTTGATCTACTTTGTTTCTTATATTTATTTATTTTTTAAACTAATTATTGTAGTGGTTGCATATAAATAGTACTTGCTAATAGTTTTTTTTTGAGTGACTTGCTAATAGTTATTAAGTTATAAGTAAGCTATCTAATGTTGTTAAATTCATACTATTATTACTTTGAAAATAAAAATGATACATAAAATACAATTAAAAATAAAAATATATATCGGGATAGGAATAGGAGAACTACATATAGGTTAGTAATTAATCTCTCTAGTTTAGAGTAGACAACAAAATTCTCATAAAATTTTGATGTCCTGGAGAAGTTAATGTAAATTTTTATCACAAATTGAAAAGAAAAGAATCTATGAGTTGAGCTCCAACAAATGCGCTCAGAGGAGATTGAGATAGACGCGCCTCGAGAATTGGACCGATAGTAAAGAATCAGGCACGATTATCGGCGGGTGTCGGACACTGGCATGTTGGAGCGTAGGCGGGATTTCTTGGGTCAACAAGTAATTACCATTTCTTGGTCAAATAGCTCAAATAGAATTAAATTATGGGACAGTACTCCACAAAACAGAAATACCAAACCCGCATGTAGGGGTGGGGGAAAGAGTTGAAGAATAATAAGCAAAACCTGAAAGGGAAGGAAGCTGAAGCTGAATTTATTTTTATCGAGAGAGAGAGAGAGAGAGAGAGAGAGACTCACACGGAGAGAGAAGGCGGAAAAAGCTTCTTGACCCCTCAGGGCTCGAATCTCTCTTTCATGAGCAATTGACTGCGGAAGAAAGCGGAGATAGATAAGACCTTCAATTGAAAATTTTATCAATCATTCTTGTCTAATCAAATTTCAACCTATATCTATCTGCTTTTGTCCCTCAAGTTTATCTGCTGTTCTTGAAGTAATCTTGGGGGAAGAGAGAGAGAGAGGCTGAGCCACTGAATCAAGCTCGCACTTCTTGGCTATGTGGCGGGGAGAGGGAGAGCGGAAGAGAGGGTGATGAATCTTCTTTCTAAATTCGTATTCTCAGCTTGTTGCGTTGAACATATCTGAAGATTCTCTTTTGGATATAGCGCAATTTTAGCTTCGAAATGGGAACTCCACAGCCAGAAGAGCTTCTCAAGAAGATCGAGGACCTCGAGGTGGGTCACGCACACCTCAAGCAAGAAATGTCCAAGCTCAAGCTCTCGGGCGCAAGCGATGCTCGGGCCGAGCAGAGCCATCATCGCCAGAGGTCGCACTCGATATCGCCGCAGCGTTCGAGATTGGGTGCGTCCAGGAGGAGAGCTGGAGGCGGCGGATTCGATGGACCGGCTTCGTGGAAGAAAGGTTCGACCTCGTTTAAACATTCATCACCGCTTCAGAGGGAAAGCCGTGGTAGTGATCCTCAAAGTGATGGAGAAGGTGGCGTCGGAAGAGGCCCTTCATCTGTGAATTTTACTGATAAGCAATATCTCAATATTTTGCAGTCAATGGGGCACTCTGTTCACATATTGGATCTTAACGGTCGTATAATATGCTGGTGAATAGCTTATTCGACTTCAAGTTCTTCTTTATTTGATTTCTTAATGATTTAATATGAAGATTAATTTTGTGGATTCTTATTTTGGTTGCAAATGGAGATAAAAATATGAGTTATAAGTTTCTATTATCAGGCTGTTGGAGATGATGTGTCCTCAGATTGAAATGGATGCGTTTTGAATTATATTTAGATCGAGCATAAAATGTTCTGCACTGTTGATTACAGAATTCTGTGACCTACATCAAAAGCTTAATTGTCTATGGTTTATGTAATAATTTTGCAGGAACCGGAGTGCTGAACATCTATATGGTTATTCAGCGGAAGAAGCCCTTGGTAAGGATGGCATTGAGCTGCTTGTAGACCCCCGTGATTTTGCTCTTGCCGATGATATAGTCACCCGGGTCATTATGGGAGAGAAATGGCTTGGGCACTTCCCTGCCAAAAATAAGATGGGAGAGAAGTTTTTGACTGTAGCTACTAATAATCCTTTATATGACGATGACGGACGTTTGATTGGCGTTATTTGCGTCTCAAGTGATTCACGACCCTTCCTTGAAGTGAGAGTTCCGTTCTCAGGAGTAAAGCAATTTGAAACAGGTTCAGGCTCCAACAATCTTAGAAGTAGCATCACAAATAAACTTGGTCTCGATTCTCAACAGCCTCTTCAAGTTGGTATAGCATCAAAAATTACAAATTTGGTTAGTCTACAACTTTTTCTTTAAATGTTTCTTTTATTTAGCCTAGCATGGCATGTTTTGATGTGAAAACCATTATAATAGGCCTCCAAGGTAAGTAACAAAGTGAAGTCAAGAATCCGAACAGGAGATAATAATGTGGATCGTGAAGGTGGGAGTGGTGAAAGTCATCATTCTGAGCCTGGCTTCTCAGAGTCGGTTCCTTCAGACCAGAGAGAAGATGCTAATTCAAGTGGAGCTAGCACACCCAGGGGAGATGTGCCCCCCTCTCCCTTTGGCGTTATTTCTCACACAGAAGACAAAAGTCAAGGAAAAAATTTAAGAGATTCTGGTGATGAGGGTGAAGGAAAACCTATGCATAAAGTCTTAACTTCCAAGGCTGAAGCATGGATTCAAAGGAAAACGATATCATGGCCATGGAAAGCAAATGAGCGGGATGGGTCAGAGGGAAGGAACGTCCGTGTTGGTTGGCCGTGGTTGCAGAATGATCAAGAAAATGAGCCAGCTCAGCGGAAGCCTCCTTCTTCTTGTGTGAGGCCAGAAAGTCAGGCAGGAGAAGGTAATCGACCTGTTACTAATGAAGCATCAGGATCCTGGTCCTCCTTCAATGTTAACAGCACAAGTAGTGCAAGCAGCTGTGGGAGTGGCAGCAGTGCTGTCAATAATAAATTGGACATGGATACTGATTGTTTGGATTATGAAATCTTGTGGGAAGACCTGACAATTGGAGAACAAATTGGGCAAGGTAGTTTTTTTTTTTTTTTTTAAATTTTTTTTAAGCGCCAAACAGGCATGCTTTGGGATTGCATATAAACTTGGAGCATTGTCTATATTTCAAGTTTCTTATTACCAAAATCTGACTGCTTTGCAAACGTAACCAGTTATCAGTGTGGCTATCATTCATAGAATTTGTTATTTTTATTATTTCATCTACCATACTTTACTGATGCCATCATTCTTTCCTCGTAAATTTGATGTAAGGTTTTGCTTATTATGTTGTTTCCATTTCCCATTTACCTTTTTGCTGTTGTTGTGCAGGATCATGTGGAACTGTGTATCATGCTCTGTGGTATGGATCAGTATGTTCTCTGCTCTTCCTGCTAATTATAGTTTTAAGTTCATATGCTACTTACAAAAAGGATATTGAAATAACCAGTGGCCGTCGCTATGTTTGAGAATTCTCTTTTGCTTCTTTCTGTTGTCCACTTTTTGTGGGTTAACCACGTGTTTAAGGTTTTCTTTTATATTACACAAATTATGATTAGGTTGCAACTCAGATTACTAGCATGTGCAATAATATTTTGAATTTCGAATATTTCAATATGAGATAAAGCATGTCGGGAAGGAAGCAATATGTTCATGGCAAATGCAAGCCTGAGGAAACGCTAGAGTTTCATTTGGGATGTGTCTTTTCTGCGGTGACAAACCAAATATTGCTGACTAATAAGTGATGCCAATTAACACCCACATTTCCGCAGGATGTTGCGGTCAAGGTATTCTCCAAGCAAGAATATTCAGATGATGTAATTATGTCCTTCAGACAAGAGGTATGCTTTCAGGCAGTCAAAATTTTTTAAAAAGGAAAAAAATTCAGCTGCTAATGTACCATGGAGAGACATACCAATTAGAATGTGCTAGGCTTTCCATGGAGGATGTTAGTTTGATGATATTTGCTTGATGATTGTCTTCGCCATTTTGTTATTGACGCACTAAACCACATCCATGTTAGGTTTCAGGGTGATGGTTTCTAAATATGTGAAACTTGTTCCTTCCACCAACAACAATAACCGCATGGCTTCATTGAATTTAATTATGTTTGATAAGGACCGTTAATTATCTGTTGACCAAAGAAGGATCAATGTGGTTTAACTTACTAGCTTTAAATATATCGCTGAGGCAGCATTTGCACGTTATAGTTTGGTGCTCTAATATGGATATTATATTATGAGCAGATGTTGTGGAACCAAAAGGCTAGAGTGCACTTATTATGGTGGCCATAATATGAGCAGTTGAATAGGTGAAGCTTGATTAGCCCTAGAGACGTGAGTAAAGATAACCAAAGTGGAAGTAAGCTAACATGTGAAACATTTTTCACAACCCAGCACGCATGATTGATTCTTTGAAAGAGGTTTCACGGCATATAGTAACTCTTTTGGAGGACCTCAAAGCAAAATACATAAAAATTCCACCTAATTTATTCCCTCTTTAATTGAAAGACTTTGCAAAACTAATAAGTTGAATTTTACATGAACCAAATAAGTTACTGAGTGGAGCCATAGTTCTCTGGAATTGTTATTTCTTAGACTGTGACCAGTGTGGAATAGTTTATGCAAGAGACTGTTATTCCAGTTCATTAGTCCTCTCTGTGATTTATTTTCTTGTATTTATATTCTGCTCTTATTCTACTATATTTGTACCTCAGAGTGCTGAGCCTCCGTCCTAAACAATTCATCATTATATAACACTAATTTGATGATGCTGTTGATATGAAGGTATCTGTTATGAAGAGACTTAGGCATCCAAATGTCCTTCTGTTCATGGGGGCAGTAACTTCACCTCAACGTCTCTGCATTGTGACTGAGTTTCTCCCACGGTTAGTTCAGAAGTTTTTTTTTTTTTTTTTAAATCACTTAGTTACAAAGTGCCAAGTCCGGCTAATTATTCTTGTATTAATCTGTAATTCTTTTCAGTGGAAGCTTGTTTCGCTTACTCCAGAGAAACACAGCCAAACTTGACTGGAGACGGCGTGTCCATATGGCTTTAGATATTGTAAGTATTTTTTTGGCAATATTATGGAGAAAATGTCTCATTCAAGTTTTGTTGATATAGCTGCATGTTCATTTTTTCCCCTATTTTTTCTTTTTATATTAGAAATTCATTTTTGACTTTTTCTTGCTTTAATTGAAGATATGATCTAATTTTATCCTTTCTGTAGGCTCGGGGTGTAAACTATCTTCATCATTGTAGCCCACCTATCATTCATCGAGATTTGAAATCTTCAAATCTTCTAGTTGACAAGAACTGGACTGTTAAGGTCAGCTTCTTGTAATTTTTCTATCTATTCTCCATTTGTTAGGTTGTAGACTCTCTTTTGATTGCTTGAAGATTTCTAGGATTATATCTTGTTTAGGTAGATAATATCTTAACCATGTACTAGCTGAACAGGTCGGTGATTTTGGCCTTTCGCGCCTCAAGCATGAAACATATCTCACAACAAAGACTGGAAAGGGCACGGTAGGTTCACATATCTTATTCGTTGACCACAAGATATTTTTGTTTGAATTCCTTTTTTTTTCTCCACATAAACAAAAAAGTTCCTGATTCTTGCATTTTCTGCTTTGCAGCCTCAATGGATGGCACCAGAAGTTCTTCGTAATGAGCCATCTGATGAGAAGTATGTTTGATCTTTACCCTTGGGTATTCTCTTTCTCCCCACTGAACTTATGGATTTTGAATACTTTATATTTTCTTCTTCTTGGGGACATCAGGTCTGATGTATACAGCTTTGGAGTGATATTGTGGGAACTTACAACTGAGAAGATCCCTTGGGAGAGTCTCAACTCAATGCAGGTATAGTTTTCATGAATATGTGATTAATAAGGTGGCATATAAGATTGTCGAACTGAAAACCTCCGAAAGTGTTTGTCTCATATGGTTGGAAAATCCACTTACATCAGGTATTCGAGCCCTTGAAGATATGTGAATCTTCGAATCGTTTTGTTACTTTGTCACTCATTTGCTTGCTGAATAACAAATTTTATTTGACAGGCCAAGGGACATGCATTTTTTATTAGAAAGAATCTTATAAGAAGAAGTTTGAAATTACTAAACCCCAGATAAAGAATTTCTACAAAAATGTGTTATCATTTGCCAGTCCAGTGTTGTCAAAACCTATTAAAGTGTTGTTACCAAATTTGATTTGAAATTTAGTAATTTCAAGTTTCTTTTTATGGGATTTGTCTTTTTTATTATTAATAATTTGTTTCCCGCTTCCTTCTGATATTTCATTCCTTTAATTTTTCATATTCATTTTTGTAGCAGTCATATTATGGTGGGTCCAAATATGAACAATGGTTTGTCTAGGATACTTGCAGGTGATTGGAGCTGTTGGCTTCATGAACCAGCGGCTAGAAATTCCAAAGGATGTTGATCCCAAGTGGGCTGCTATAATTGAGAGCTGCTGGCATAGGTGTGTTTCCTGGTCGTTCTGTCATACTAGTTTATATCTTTTTCTGCAGCTCAATATGTACACGCATAAATCTTATTCCACTTGCAAAGTCAATGATCAGTTAAAATGATTTGTGTCCTACTGTTGGCCAGCGTGCCTATGCGAATTTCATAAGATCAGCTGTTTGGGATATTCATCAAGCATTTATATTTTGATTTTCTTCTTAATATCTTTAGCATCTCTCAACATCTTTACCCATTTGAACCTTATCATTCATACTTTGATTACATTTTATCACAAAATTGAGATCCAAAGAGCTTTTGCTTGAGCTAGTGTTAGACACATATATAGATACACACACACACACACTTTGATTACATTTTATCACAAAATTGAGATCCAAAGAGCTTTTGCTTGAGCTAGTGTTACACACACACACACACACACACACACCGATGGTTGTTCCATAGTTACTGACATATACAGTTTCTACTTTTTCACTCTTTACCTAAAATACTTGCAGTAGCCCAAAATTCATTTTGGTAATCTGGTTTATGACAATTGACAACTTAACAATTTCATCAGTTGACTTCACAATGTTTTGTTGGGTTACATAACAGTACTAAGTGATGGGAAACACATAGTTCATCTATTTTTCTACTTCTTTTTCTCAGTCTGAAGTTTTGTTCTTTCAACCTTAGTATGGGCTTCATTTAAGAACGATCACATATTTGATGGTGTTGATGCTTAGAGGGGGACAAGTTCACCTTTTTAAGATAAGTTATTTATTAAATAATCTAATGGCCAACAAATAGAGAGACAACCTTGCAACTATATTTGCTCTTATAATTTTGAAGGGTGCAAAAATGTTGCTTGTGTGCTGTTGATAGCAAGATTCAAATTCTCCCTTCCTTTTTTGGGCATTATAGGACTTTCCTCATCTTCCATGTCTTGTCCCCCGAAAATCTACTGTCCTTCAGTTTACTATTTAATTTTGGTCAGCTAAAGTTGTCAGCAGCACACATGCATGTATGGTGTGTTTATGTATATGATATACTCACTTCTGAATTACTCTAACTGGTATTATTTTGCTCGACTCTGACTTAGTATGAACTTTTGAAGGAATCATATTTTTCTTTAGTCACTTGTTTGGTCTCTAGTTATAAAAAGCATAAAAGAAAAGGTGGGAATTATGCATCGTGGATGCACAAGGTATCAAAATTTTTCTCATTCTGTGAAAAAATGAATTGACACACCAGAAAGTTAGCACGCCAACTCTAATTTACATTAGTGGTTGTAAGTCATATCCCTATTATAACTGTCATATAAATAGGACATTGAACAAGGCACATACTCTATTATGCACTATAGCACAATTGGATAAATGTAGTATTATATGGGGTCTTTATGATTTGGCTCTACTAGTGCATAGATGATGTGACTCACCTAGTTGTAGGCAAGAATTTCTGCGGGAACACGTTGCCATCGCTGATATCTTTCACTGACTTGTATCTTTGTTCATTCCCACCAGTGATCCAGCCTGCCGGCCAACGTTTCAGGAACTGCTAGAAAGGCTTCGAGAGCTGCAAAGACGTTATGCCCTTCAATTTCAAGCTGCTCGTTCTGCTGGTGTTGAAAACACTCAAAAGGAGTCCTAAACACGGCCTTTGACCTTCTTTTCTTTTATTCGCCTGCAGCCGACATAATGATTTTTTTGCATACCTTTTTACCAGTTTCTGGTAAGCAGTTGAATTGACACGAACGGGGCCCGGCTTGAAGTTGGAACCATACCAAAGTGCTGATCGGAATTGTGGCTCTTCACCATTTGCGGTAGAACTTAAAAGGGGACAACATTGAAAAATGAAAGAAAGTGGAGCTTGACGACGATGATGATTGGTATAATCACGTTTTGTCTCTTCAATGGCATCAATGATCTTCAATTTGTTAGTAGTGCTGAATGCTTGGAGCCATACCAAATGGGATTGATTGTGACCTTTATTGTGATCCTAGACGGAGAATTTAGGTGCTATTAAAGAATTTGTACAGGAGGCAGAGAAGGCAAAAACTTCGAGTTTTGATTGGACGAAAGGGATTAGGATCCGAGAAGTTTCTTCCCTTCATATTCTTTGTTAATCATGGTTGGAGTTTTGTAATTATCCACTGGAATCGACAAGGTGCGGCTTAGCATGTCAGATTCATGATTTGATTAGTCCGTTCTAAACTAGTAAGTGTGATTTTCGTACGTAGCTCCACTCCCTTTATTTTCACTCACAAGTGGCACAATTTTGTGCACGAACAAGGGGAAAAGAACAGGACCAGTTGCTGCCAATATCAGTTGAAGTTTTTTGGGCCCCCCCCCCCCAACAAAAAAAAAAAAAAGTATGGCTGGGTATCACTTAAAATCTCCTATTTCTCCCTTTCCGTGGTCAAAGTTATATGTCATATTTGGGTGGTTCCTTTCCGTGATATGCCATGAGCGCCTTATTTAATGTATTTTAAATCAACATTTAATCAGCGTTTGAGGTAAATTTGAAGGAAGGTGTGAATATTGTTTTAATTTTCTTATGCTACATAATAATTTGGTATGATATCTTTCAAAAATGACAATAATCCACACTACATAATTTTCACTCAAAATTTTCAATGTTCGTATAAAACTTTTATTTCCAAATTAAAAATTGTAAATATGATTAATAGTTGTTTAAAGTATTGACTATTGTACAATAAATAACTAAAATATTCATCAAACATAAAATATTACATAAATTCAAACTCATGGTTAAAATAATATAAACCAAAAATCATTACGCCAATATTTAAAATAGAATTTATATAAAATCACACTATTAAAAAATTATAAATAGTGCAACTTATTATTCAAATTTTCGACAGTGTGCTTAAAAATGCTTCAATTTTTTTTTTTAAAAAAAAGATTTCGGTAAGTTGAGTTCAAAAACTTATCAGGACCAAAGCATTGAGCATAAAAAACTCACAAAATTGTGATAGACAAGAGACAAACTAAAAATGAATTTGACAAAAGAAACTACTAGAAAATCTATCTTCGTGGGTCTCATTTCCATCCTGAATTGGAAGGTAACTAGCAAGTCAAAATAACTTGGGCATACTCTGGAATCTGGACTAACAGTTCCTATGAACTGTGGACGAGCAGTTCGCTCGTCTCATCACCTTGCCTTCCTTCCCCCCCCCCCCCAATTGGTTCACTCCGGACTTGACCCAAAACTCCCATTTTCCCCTTTGTCTTTGTTGGACTGCTTTATTGCCTATTTGCCTTTTTAACGTGCATATGATCATGGAAGATAGATACAGACAAGAGGAGCCAGCCACTAAGCCCCAACTTGTGCAGGCAACTTGTAGAATCAACAACTTCAGTGGCGTAAAAATTTCCAACCTGTGACTGGAATGATGGAGAGTTATAGAGCTTTAGCGCTTGCAAACTTAACTTTCCAACAGGGACAAAAAACAACTGCACAAAGACTCCACCCGCTGGCAGTGCTTCTCCTTTTTTCTTCCTCTTCTTTTTAACTACCTTCCAATGGCGTGTTTTGTATTGCATGTAAACTTCAATAAAATGTATAATTTCTAGTTTGCACATTATGGCATCCAGTAAGCGTCCGTTTTCCCACAGGAAAGCCGTTTGTTTTGAGTCTGAAAATTGGTAAATAAACCATGCACGAAACTCGGACCAAAAAAGAAGTAACTTGGACAAAAGTTTCAATACACAGCGGATCTTTCAGACTTTCACCCGAAAACACAGTTCCTACAGCTCATGCAAAAATCTAATTTGCCCGAAAAAAATATAAGTATAAAAATTCTGAATAGATCTGACTTTTGATGGTATACATTTGAGGATCCAAATTTCGACACAAATATCTAGCGAAGCAAATGCCTAATAGCAGCAACAGCATCGCCTTTATGCTCACGCAAGGTTCTTTCAGCCACCTTTTTGTCCAGCTGTCAAAGGCATTAAAAGCGTCACCAGTCTATCCTAAACATGAATAAGCTTCCAAAAGTTGTGACGCTTAAGTTCAAGATAAGTTACCTCTAGTTCATTTGCGATTATGTCAACATCAGCTGCATTTATCTTAACAGCAGCCAGTTCCTTCTCCCTGGTAATGAAACAAGATGGAAGATTGGAAGTTGAGATTTAAGATATAGAAAAATTGACTGACAAAGAGACTTATATTGCAAACGACTAAATTGGTGGTGAGAGGATACAGTAACGAAATTTGAACATAAGCTAATAGTTCAGATTTGCACAGTCAATGATGTGGTAAGTTGTTCAGCATGATATTAGCGGTTAAAGGGAAAGATATACTTGCATAAAGAATGCGAGTTATTTAACTGAAGATTTCAGTCTAAACATGGAAACAAAAGAAGAGACATGTGTGCAGGTTACATAGAGCAGAGATCGGCTACTACGATTTAATGAACCGCAATAAGTATCAGTCTTTATTGCACAATGAACTTTGGGATTTAGAATTGATACACTTCCGACACTTTTAAAGTTCTTTTGCCAAGTACATAAGGTGAGGAATTGCTAAGATGATAAGATCTGTGTTACACAAACTTATTTCACATTATCAAATCTAAATTGGTTTAAGCATGCTTGTATTACGGCCCCCATACTAGGGGGCTGAGGAGAATGCATATGCTTATGATGAGCTTTTACTTCCCCCAATGAGAACTTGTAAATTATAACCTCAAATTAATGTCAGCATCAGATAAAAAGCCAATCGCCTGGGAATTTAAGAAAATAATCTGCATGTTCTGATTGAGATTCTGACGATTGAAATTTCTATCACCTGAACATGGGTTTTGGCTTCGCTGTGTCTGTATCTATAAACATGTACATACATATATATAATCATGTGCATTTTTGCTATAATAAATTAATGATATCTTGAGGATTGTAATATTTTCCCAGATTTTTGCAAAGTGTTTGCATAAAGCTGGGAAAGAAAATAGCCAAGAGAATCCAAGATTGGGCTGAAGAATAATCAATATGGTTTGACAGCTGTTGGCTAAGTCCAATAGATGCCAAAGACAAAACCCTTTTCAACATTAAAAGGCGAGGATTTACAGCTGCTCGCTAAGTCTAATAGATGATCTTATATCCTAGAAGGAAAACAGACACACATACAGGAGCCTCTTTAAAAATTCACTGAGAATAAAAATAAATGTTCAAGAAATAAAATGTGCAAGAATATAATTATATTGGGATTTCTAGAAGTCCAAAATTTGAAAGAGTCCAAGTCTCTAGATTTCCATTCTATAACTGGCGATAACTTCCATTAGATAAATGAAAAATTTTCTGTTACGATAAAATTAGCTAGTAAAAATTCAAGATACTAGTATAACAGCAGCAAATCATGTTGTATTACTGAAAACAACATACGACACTAGGGTACATAAAAGCAAGTAATGCGAATATAGAACATAGGTAATAATAATACAAGCCTAATGAGAACTGAATATTCTAATAAAGATGGATTTTCGTGAAATTTCTCATCCCCCCCGGGGGGGGGGGGGAATCTCCCATCCTTTTCTTTTTATTCCCCAAGTACAATATTATGGTCGCAAATGTGACAAAAGAAGGTTTTCCCATTATATGAGCAATTAAAAGGAGAAGTTGGGGGCACTTCATTTATTAGAGAGCAAAGCATATGCTTCCCCTAATTTCAGACTCCACCACAGTTTGACGCTTTTAAGGGCAGGAATAATGCATAATTTTCAGAAGGTTAAATGAACTTTGAAGCCGCAAAAATATGTTCAGGAAGTCTTCATAGCTTTATATGACAAACAAGCCGTGCAAGGCCATGCCCAAACAGCAGAACACGAATGACAGCCCAAACATTACAATGTTAGTCATTGCAAAAACGTACTCACTAATTTAAACCGTTTTCTGGAAAAATAACAAGCTCAAAAGATTCCTATCTACCTCAAACGCATCGCATTCCAGTCCGCTTCTGCAGATGCAGCAATTGAAGCCATAGCCTGACAAATCACAAAACTGTTAGAGAGCATCGCATGAAACTGCTTAATTGGAACGCACTGCCTTAATCATTATATGCCAAGCCTCCATCAATCAATTTAATAACAAATTCTTACAATTTTTTCTTTCTCAGGAAAAAAAAAAATACAACAGAATAAAAGAGTAAATATTAAAGAGACCGGGAGGGACCTCCTGGACGCGAGTGGAGTCGAGCTGGCGATCCTCGACGCGGTCAGTGAGCTTATCAAACGCTTTGCTCTGTTGCTGTAAGTCCTTGGAATCCTCTATCCTCTCTACTCCCTCATCTGCAGCCTCCATCTTTACTCTTTCAAGCTTTTTTGGGACAAAAGTTCCTTAGAGAAATTCGAGACAGAAAACACAGAAGTATCGATTGCGAGTAGATTTCTATGCCCTAAGAGTAGAAAAAGCTCGACACTTAATTGATGGTCTGAAGGACTGCGATAGGGGAACACCACCAGCGGGGAAGAACCCAAAGGATGAGCCGCCTGAGCCTCGAAACTGTAGGAGGCACCTTCCCTGCGTTGCGTTGGATGATGTGTTGATGTTGCCTTATTGGACCAACCGTGGAAGATTTGGAAGTTGGGCTTTATTGGACTCGGATCTCAGAAAAGCTACCTTCAAAATTGGGCCTTTGAAACTCTTCATTTTGCTTTTGAAAAGAGACTGAGGCCCAGTCTTAACAAGGCATAGATAATACTATAATAATAGAGTGCATTATTTTTCTGGATGTAAATTTGTTCTAAAAATTTAAAATCCTAGTAATATTGTCTTTTCTATTAAAAAAATTAATATTGACTGCTAAAATAGTGATATTGGCTGTTAACATTTTTAACAGGAAAAAAAATATTATTATGATTTTAAATTTTTAGAACAAATTTGCATCGTGGTCTAATAATGAGGAAATCATAAATTATATTTTAGATTATGGGAAAAAGAACCGCAAGAGTCATATTGTCATGATCTTCAACTCATAATATAGTTGCATTTTTCAAGGAATATATGAGTGGACATATAGGTGATAGATCCAAATAAAATACTTTGTATTCATAATACTTTTTTCCCATGAGTTTTGTTACTCAATTATTATTGGAATGACATTGAATTTCAGCAAAATTTGCTACGTGCACGGATCTCGTAATTGAAAATTGGCTGCATCCTCAACTAAGAATTTAAATGTTTCACCAACTTGGTAAGCAATTTGAATTAATTCCTTGGACAGAGAGGGTATGACGTTCAAATAATTATCATAGATATAGAAGCAAGTCTGTATTAGAAGTTGAAACTTGCATAAGTTGTGCACTGCCAGTTATTAGCACTTGAAGTATTTGAGAGAAGAGACAAAGTTTTGTTAGGAGTTCATCGGGCTACTATAAAATCTGTCTTTTAATCCAGTTCGGGATGAGGACAATTAGAAGTTTAGCAGTCTCGATCACAGAAAAAGAGATCTCAACGGAATGCATTAATGGTTAAACGATCTACGGCTTCGTATCATTATAAATACGAGTGATGATTGCCAGGCTATAATTCGCCCACATAAAGCGTTCGATATCGAGCTTTATATACTTTGTTTTTTCTAATTAAAGATAAAGATGAGGAATGTTCTGAGTGCGACTCTTCTGGTGCTGATATTAATGGTGATTGTAGGAATATCCGAGGGTCGAAGAATCAAACTTGGCGAGCTTCATGGCAATGAAGGCGAGACTCCTGGTTATGGAAGCTACGGTAACGCTAGTTCGGGCGGGTATGGTAGTGGCTATGGAAGTGGAGAAGGAGGGGGAAGTGGAGAAGGTTACGCGGGTGGGGGTAAGGGAGAAGGAGAAGGTTGTGGAAAAGGAGAAGGAAGCGGAGGAGGATATGCCGGAGGCGGCGGAGGGGAAGGAGAAGGTTGTGGAAAAGGAGAAGGAAGTGGAGGTGGTTATGCCGGAGGAGGAGAGGGTTGTGGAAAAGGAGAAGGAAGGCGGAGGAGGATATGGCGGAGGGGGTGAAGGAGAAGGAAGCGGAAGAGGATATGGTGGAGGAGAAGAAGGAAGCGGATCAGGAGGATATGGCGGAGGGGGTGAAGGAGAAGGAGAAGGCTGTGGAAGTGGAGGGTACGCCGGAGGGGGCAAGGGAGAAGGAGAAGGCTGTGGCAGTGGAGAAGGAAGTGGAGGGGGTTACGCCGGAGGCGGCGGAGAAGGAGAAGGTTGTGGAGGAGACAAGGCGGGAGGCGGTAAGGGAAAAGGCTGTGGAAGTGGAGAAGGAGGTGGAGAAGGGTACGCGGGAGGGGGTGATGAAGGAGGAAAAGGCTGTGGCTGTGAAGGAGGATCAAGCGAAGGAACAGGTTGTGATTGTGGAGGAGGTTATGCCGGTGGAGGTGGTGATAAAGGTGGAAGTGGAGGAAGTTACGAGGGAGGAGGAGATGGTAACTACGGAGGTGGATCTAGTGGCGGGGACAGCGGCGGAGACGACAGTTGTGGTGATCAAAATGGGGACACCGGAGGCAGTGGGGGATTAGGTATAACTATCTCCATCGGTGGAAACTGTGGTAGCAATTGCACCGATGACAGCGGTGGAGGAGTCTACAACGTTACCGCCGGACCAGTTGGCGGAGATTAAGTTTTGAATAAAATCGTCAAATTATTCCCATAATCATTGAGTTTGTGTGTGAAATTATAAATATAAATGAATAATGGATGAATATAATGTACGTTCTGATAAAGTATTTAAGAGGGGATAGCTCGATTTGAAAAAGATAAAGAGAGCATGAGAACTCGATAAAAGAGAAGTGGAGTCCGCATATATCCACTTCTGCTTTGATCTGCCATTGTTCTCTTGGTTCTTGTATTACAAGTTCACAGCGTGCTTGACTACTGTGTATTGTATTGATGAGTCTAGAAGTCCCATAGTTTTAGATTGGAATAAACTTTTAAGTTTGGCTAATTATTTAATTCTTATCGAGGTGCACGATGCCCACAGGCATATAGTAATTTCGATTTGCAATTTTACTTGCCCATAATGCTGATCTGCAATTTCAAGCTTTATTTGATGCGAATAGCAGTAATAAAGGAATATATATAATCCAACAGGGGTCTGTTACTCTCTAGTATATATATTAGTGCAGATCAAAGTTTTTTTTAGGACATTAAATGAACAAAAAATTTTGTCATGATATGTAGGAAATGCGATGTGCAGTCCATCACAAATTAAATTCTAAACAAATTTTCTTAATTTTCATCACAAATTCTTTTTTTTTTATTGTACTAAAGATCTTATTTATAGTCTAACACGAAGTCTTATAAATAAGAACAGAAGTAATAATTTAGAAGCCCAGTGGAATATAACTACACAACCGCAGGCTCCTGCACTCGTGTTTCATACATGCATGGCTAACTTTAATTAGAACTACAAAGTACAAACCGGAAGTTGAGCTTCCCACTTACCAGCTTTGTGCATAAGCGATTCAAAACTGCCACAGCTATGGACACTTTATTATAAAGAAGCTTTGAGAAAGAAAAATAATTATTAAAAAAAATTCTTATAACAACCTAAATAATTTGTAATCACAAGTTTTACAATAGAAAATGACAATTTTTGAAATTTTTTTGTAATTATTTTTTTAAGACCTGTAATTCTCCATTTTTTAAATTAGTTTTTTAAAGAAATATACACGCATTATCTAAACTTATAAAACACTTTTGTTAATTAATTTACATACACTTTCTTTTCATATTTACCCTTATTTACTCTTAGTTTTTGATACTCACTAAAGGCCTTTTCGGAGAAATATTATAAATTATACTTTGAAAAATAGAAAAAAAGATCTTATATATAGGAATGGAGAAGTATTACTTACCAAAAAAAATTCGTTATAATTTTAATGGATGAAGTATAGAGTACTACTTCTTGTCTTTAATATAAAAATTCATTTAATGTGGTCCTAAATATAACATCCCAATTTGCTTTATCTGTCATATTTATCTATTTTTTCTCAAAATAGTCATTGTACTAGTTGCACATGTTAAAAGTTTCATCAAATAATAGTTATAGTTAACACACATGATTAACAAGGATATTTTAGAGAAGACAATATCTATTTATTGCAAATAACAAACTTAACTAATATTTTTAATCTACTCAAATTAGTCAACTAGCTTTCATATTAAGCACGCAATTAGTACATCATATATAGCTGCGAGCACATTATTACGGAAAATCTTACAGAAAATGTTGCCACATTCGTGCAGGGTTTTCACTCTAGCTGAAAATGGGATGAACATTTAAATATTTCACCAAACTTGGTAGGTAATTCGATTCAATTCGTTGCACTGATGAGGATCCAAAGTTTTCAACTCTGTGTGCACATATGATTTTCTTTCAAGGCTATGCAGACCTGTACAAGTTAAAGGATTAAGGTATACTTTTGTTTCGAAAGCTTTCTCAAAAGGACAATGTCATCTTAAAAGTTTTTTTGAATTTAATGATACCTCAACCAATTAACAAAGTTAATCCTAACTGTTTGTAGACTGATTTATGTTGAGGTGGCTAAGTGTCTTTAACGGCAAAAATTAACTTTGTTAGCGAATCGAATCAGCAATGTTATGTTTTTAATTTAAACTTCTAGGGCAAGCAAAAATTTCCACACTAAATTAGACCTTAAATCTACATTAAATTCTTGTGATCGAAGTTTGGAATGTAAGAACGATTAGAAGTTTAGCATTACCGATCAGAGAAGAAGAGATCTTAACGAAATGCATTAATGGATATATTAATCGATCTGCACTTAATAAGTGATAGTATAAATACTAGTGATTTTCACCTGGCGAAATTGCCCATCAAGCGTTTGCTTTCGATTTGTAACGATAGTGATATCAACCGTGGCCTTGGGAATATCAGAAGGTGTTGAAGCCCAAAACAATACACACAGCCTGCAAGTTTAATGGGCTTTCTTTACATTTTGCCCACCTTGAAATCTTCCTCTCATCATTCCTGCGTAGCCTCGCAGCAATTGACTTGAAGCCACTCCTCATGTAGCTTACTATTCCAGTGAGGAACTCCAATGGTGAGCAAGGAGATCGGCCCCCGTTCACGTAGTGCACAGATAGATAAGAATCGTAATGTTGTCCATCGACGAAATAAAATCCTTGCGGATATTCTCACCAAACCCCTTCCTTTATCTATATTTGCACTCCTTAGATCAAGTCTTCCTGTCCTTCCAGCACAGTTCAACTCGCGAGAGATTATTGAAGCCCAAATCAATACAATCAGCCCGCAAGTTTAATGGGCTTTCTTTAGGGCTCTTGTTTCTCTAGTTACTCAACCATCCTTTATGCGGTCGTATACCACATTTTATCTGACATACTCCAGACCTACGCTGCATATGCTGAGTGCGTAAAGCTGTGTGTGTATATCTGGTGTAATGCAAATACCAGTTTCTGGGTGGAAATGTTAATGGTGGTGTTGTTTTTGGAAATGAACAGGGTTTGAGAATGCTTCATCGTCTTGTTGTTGGTTGGCGGGGAGGTTCGGAGGGCTGATACCCTGTGGACCGACGTCGAAAGTATGTGCGGATAGATCCAAGTACGTGTTCCGGGATCCTTACCATCCATCTCAAGCTACTAATGAGATCATAGCTAGGCGACTATTGGATGGAGATCTTCCTGATATCTCGCCCATCAATCTTAGCCGCTTCGCTTCTTCTTCTTGACCTCTTCACATTTCTGGAAGAGTTACAGATTCGAAACATCACATCTTTGTTATCCTCTTCCTCATGATTTGTTTCCTTATTATTGAATTACTGCTACTAAAAATGAATGAAACAGAATGATTGTAGTATATTATCCACTTAAAGCAATGTTTCTGTATATATCCGACCAAAATAGTACCAGTCAAACGAGTCCAATGCCACTCTCATTCATACATCAAAAGTGGGTGGTCCCACACCAATTGCTAAAAGCCTAAAACGAAGGTCCCACGTTCCGACCACCTTTGTTTTCAGCTTCAGGGAAGGGAACATTTTTCTTTGCCCGATCCGTATCAACCCCAAGCGCCACCTGGCCGGAAAACATTATCTCGTCGACCGCCACCCATCAGCGAGCTAATAGCAAGAGTGTTCGCTGTTTTAGAGTCGATTTGATATGGCTTCATGGCAATTCGATTACGAATTTACGGCCAAGGGATTCAGGGTCATCGTCTCCTTTGCAAGGTTTGTTTTGATTTGTCGTGACTTAGGTCAAGGAATTGGAAGTATTCCTCCGGTCCTAATTATAAGACCCAATTGACTTATTTGAGGAGATTAAGGAAGTTAAGTTGGTTATTTATAATAAATAAGTGTTGTTATTCCTAAAATATCCTTGCTAATTAAGTATATTGGCTAAAACTATCATTATTAGAAGGATTATCTTGAAAAAAAATACATAAATATAAGAGAGAAAATGAATTGGGTCTTATAATTAGGACCAAATAAAAAGTCAAATTGGGTCTTATAATAAGGACCAGAGGAGTATTTAAAGATTGATGGATTAAATTAGCATATGATAATTAAACGTGTGAAGGCGCTTAAGCTGCGGCATTAATTCTTTAATATGTTTGTTAATACTATCTCCGTTCCTGATTATAAGAGCTAGTTCACTAATTTAAAAAAATTAAAAAAATAAGTTAAATTAGTTATTTATAATAAATAGGTATTGTTTTTCTTAAAATCCTTGCTAATCAAGTGTGTTGGTTAAAACTACTATTATTAGAAGGACTACTTGAAAAAAATATATATATATAACTATGAGAGACAAAGTGAATTAGGGTCTTATAATTAAAATCAAACTAAAAGTGAAACAAAATCTTATATTAAAAACTGGACGTAGTAATTATTGACTCTTTACTTCATGTTTTTATCTCTATTTTTTTATTTTGGGGTTAAAGTCACTTCTACTTTTTCATTGCATCTCACAGGTACTTTAGTTAATAGCACCTGTTTGCCTTATGCCTATAATGAAGCGAAACGATGCTTCTGAGTTCTGACGCAGAATAAACTGGGAAGAAACAGCAGGTGCTCGTTCTAGGGTTACTCCCATATTTTTTTTTAATGGCTAATAATTTAGCGATTAGCGAACTGAATTTACATGTTCCTTCTGGCCTGGTTTTGTTCCTTCAGTGCTGAAATATCAGTTAAAAAACCACCATTCGAAAATGTACTGGAAATTTTGCTCAAAAAAAAAGAGAAGAAAATGTACTGGAAATGATACAATACTCATTTATTCCTGGTCCACTAAATATGATAGAAAACAGATTCAAGAATGTGAAATTTTCTAATTTAAGGTCCTGATGATGATGACTAGTATAGGCAGAAGGCTGATGATACTTGTATATATCTTGAATAATTCTTCATATGACTTTGGGAAATCTCTTGAAATCTAAAACTTGGAAACAACGCAGACAGAGTTATCCCATCTAGTTACAGGGGAAAAAAAAAAAAATGGAGACTCACGCATACAGTAGAAGAAGTATATGGTAGCTGTTGAAAAGAAAACTTGAGTTTACTGTCAACCTTATTTTTTAACGGTTCGGTGCAGGACAGAGAGCATTCAATGTCAAGCAGGAATTTGCCCAACTTGACATACAGT